TGCAAGATTCATGATCTATTAAGAGACTTGTGTGTGAGACAATCTAAAAAGGAGATGTTTTTTCACCCCACTTATTGGAATCTCCTCAATAAGTCAAAAGATATTACTTCACGTCGTATAACTGTTCTTCCTTTTAAAACGAAGCTTGACCCTGAAGCTGAAACACTGTCAAGTTTTCTACCGCGGTCCTTTCTTTTTTTCAGTTGGGGAAAGCTTCCAGATACAACAGAAAGTTCAAATTTTAGGCTTGTTAGAGTATTCCATAAATACTATTATCCCGCTTGCAAGTCATTTGCATGGGAACAACTGGTTAGCTTGCGGTACCTCTATTTCCCAACGTTTGATAATTCTAAGGTTTTTGCATCTGTGTGCAAACTTCGGCACCTACAAACCTTAATTGTTACGCATATAGGGGGTGAGGATAGGAGTCATATGAACTCAAAAATATGGGAAATGCAAGAGTTAAGGCATGTAGTTATTAAGCCTCAAATACTTCTTCATACTCCAGCTAGTGCAGAAAATGTCAGGGAGAATTCTATTATTGTTCTAGAAAACCTACAAACACTCACCATGATAGAGAATCTCAGATGTACAGAGGAGGTCCTCAAAAGAATTCCAAATCTAAAGAAGCTCGGAGTGTATTACGGATCGCCATCACCATCTGAGGATATGACTAATCTCGTGGCTCTCCATAAACTTGAAGAATTAACATACAAAAGATATAAGTGGTTTGTGCCTTTCTGGAAGAACCTATCTGTCCCTCCTTCACTCAAAAAGTTAACTTTAATTGATGGTCCCTGCAGTAGGGAAGAAATGAAGATGATTGGTTCGTTGCCCAATCTTCAAGTGCTGAAAATCAAAGGACGACGGTTCTCTGGCTTAATGTGGGAACTAGAAGGAGGAGGATTTCTTCAACTGAAAGTTCTGATACTTGATACAGTTCGTCTTGAGGAATTGCTAGCTGACAGTATCCACTTCCCAGAACTTCAGCGCCTAGTCATTAAGAACTGCAGAGACCTGAAGATCCCTATTGGTATTGGAGAAATTCCAACTCTTCAATCCATTGAGCTTTTTCACTGTGATATTTCAGTTATAACTTCAGCAAAGCAAATACAAGAGGAACAAGAGAACTTGGGAAATGATAGTCTGCGAGTTCTTATTATTGGTGAATATCAGCAGCTCTATCCTCTTACTGGTTAGATTTTCTTTTACTTTGTGTTTGTGTTCCTCTCCTTTTTTCCTCTTTATTTAGTGGGAATAATGAATACAAATTTTTATTCTGAATTGGCAGTGTTCAAAATAATCACAATAAAGTTGTTTTACTCACAATTCTTACATTGTTTGTTTAGATCCACTTTAACAAAATCAAAATTCATGCTCATTTTAGCTAAAATTTACAACATGGTTTATCTTATGGTTTTTAAACTGAAAATGCGAATAATTTTACAAACAAATAATAAACTGCTTCTATAGATCTGTTTGGATGCCTAATGTTTTTTAAAATTGCATGTCTTAGCCCTTGTTTGGTTGTCATTATTTTCAAAATACATTTTTCTCTTTTATTTTCAATCATACATTTTTCAATAAAATAATATTAGAATTTAACTCCAAAATATTTTCTTATTTTTTAACTAAACATTCTCCATCAAAATAATATTTCAAAATGCATTTAATTTGGATAAAAAATGAGGCTTAAATAGGCTCTTATTCTTTATATAAAAATAAATTAGGTTAATCAAGCACTTGTATTGAACCAACTGAATTTGATCTATAATAATACGCCATATTAGAAATGACTTACATTGCGTATGAGAAACTCTATCAAGTCTCTATTTTATGTAGTCAATCATATCAATATGTCACAATTGTCTAAATGGCTAAAAATATGAAAAAGGCATTTTTTTTCTTCAATAATGCTATATATACATCTGGGGTGTGTACAAGAATTGACACCCCGGATGACACCCTTTCACATGGGAGTGTCAACCCCCCGGATGCCAATGATTATTTTTCTTAACCCGCTCCACTACCTTTTTGTCCTTTGATTTTTCAGGCGTTGAAGATTTAGCCCGCTTTCTGGGTCATGGCCTTCAGTAACCTCATTCTTCGATTGGAATTTGGCTTGTTAATTCATAGTTTGCTTGTATTCAGCCATCCGGGCATTCTTGCAATTTTACCTTGAGCTTTCAACCATTGACTTGCAGATGGATTCATTGGGGATTAATGTTTTTTCTTTAATTTGTGTTTTTAAGGAACCTCTGGGTTCTTTAATTTTTCTTAACTGTTATGTTTTTCATGTTTTATTTTTCTTTGATGGGTTCGTATGACGTTCTTGTAAGCAAGCGTGATTTTGTTCAGGAGGTACTTAACTATCATGTGTAATATTATTGACCTTTGATTTCACCAAACCGGGCTCAGTTAACAAATCAATCGACAACCACAACCAACCAATCGATCCACAAACCAGCACCACCTTCCCGAACACGGTTGCTCACAGATTTCTACAGCCCACCAAGGACCAA